GCCCCGCATCAGGCTCTGTGCTGACAGCTCAGATTGTGTGAGCTTCCGATTGTGTGCCTCCCTCTCTCTCTGCCTCTCCCCCACTTGCACTCTGTCTCTCTCTCAAAAATAAACAAACACTAAAAAACTTTTTTAAAAAAGAATGAAGGGAATGAATAATTAATTTTAATAATACTGAGGGATGGATCTTTTTTCTTTTCATTTCTAACGAAAAAAGCAGTATTTTCTCAACTTAAAAATTACAGTGAAAGGATTTAGAACAATTGGGCTTTTTAAAAAAAGTGTATTTATTCTGAGAGGGAGAGAGAGAGAGTGCATGAGCAAGTGGGGGAGGGCCAGAGAGAGAGGGAAAGAGAGAGAATCCCAAGCAGCCGCTGTGCTGTGAGTGCAGATTTCAACGAGGAACTTGATCCCACAAACCCTGAGATCATGACCTGAACCAAAATCAAGAGTCGGATGCTCAATGGATTGAGCCATCCAGGCGTCCCTAGAGCTATTAGCTTGATACGTTATTTCTCATGAACAAAAAGTAACTTTATATGCTTAAGTAAGTCTTTCCCACAAATACTCATTTATGTTCATAACTTTTCAGGAAGATGAGTAGGGACAATCATGGCTGTTTTTATTCTGTGAACAATACACACAGCAGAATAAGGTGTGCTGAATGGAGCGAGATGAAGAGGGCTTCTAACACAGGAGGGTGGCCTGTGTGCCAAGTCCGAGCCCAAGTGGAACAATGCGGATGTCCATATGGAAGCAGTCCTACATGGCATGTCACAAGCCCAAACAGAGTGAGGTGGCATTCCCACAGAGAACAGAGTGCAAAGAGGGTAAGGAGAGAACAGAGAAAGGGCAAGGAGATTGGGGCGGGGGGGCGGGGCGGACAGCTTGACTTGGGAGTCAGGTTCCAGGGGCGGCGAGAAGGCTATCGACATGAGGAAAGGGGTGGAGGTTATGGAGACGGGTTACACAGAAGAATGATCAAATAATTATCTATATTAAGGAAAATGTTAACCAGCTGTCTGTCAGAGAAGGAAGTTTCAGAAGAGAGAAAACTAGAATGGAACCTTATGGTGCTGGATTAGAAATCGAAGGATCAGCATGAACTCATTATATATATATATGTGTGTATATATATATGTATATATATATGTACGTATACATATGTATATATACATACACATATATATATAACATGTATGTGTACATACAGAAATATACATGTAAAATGTATATTTTTATTATATCTACATAAAACTATATATTCGCTAGATTTCTTGCTTTTAGGAGGCCAAAACCTGAATAGCAATGAGCATGCCTACTGGTTTTTAAAGAACTTTCCTCCTTGGACAAACAGCTGATTCCAAGTCTGGGGCACGGAAGGTACAAAACGACCTGGAGACATCTTGTTGCAGGAAACATGGAAGTGCTCAAAGACTGACTGGGACATGTCACAAGGACAGAGAAACTGGAAAAGAAACTTGAAATAGTCTGATTTGGGGCAAAGTGAGCATCAAAACAAATGACAGTAACAGATTCACCTTTGAGTAAAGGAGGAATCTGTCAGTCCATACTGATACAAATAAAATAATAAGTTTAATGAAAAACAAGAATTTATGTAGTCTCAAAGTAACTCATGCAGGGGAGACTGAGTGGCTCAGTTGGTTGAGTGCCAACCTCGGCTCAGGTAATGATCTCACAGTTTTTGAGTTCAGGCCCCACATCGGGCTCTGGGCTGACAGCTCAGAGCCTGGAGCCTGCTTCAGACTCTGTGTGTGTGAGTCTCTCTCTCTCTGCCCTTCCCCCACTCACACTCTGTCTCTCTCTCTCAAAAATAAACATAAAAAATTTTTTTAATATATTTAATAAAAATTAAAAAATAACTCATGCAAAGTATTTATTAACTATAAAGAGAAAGAAAGTAACTTTATAGTAGAGTCTGATAGCCACCACCTTAATCAAGTGATCAAGTCAAGTCAACATCATCAGTAATGGGATAAATCAAAATCAGACACCAACTGACTGAATGCAAGGAGAACACAGCATCATGTCTGTGATATTCCAGCCAAAGAAAGATGCACAACCTGAACCTAATTGTGAGGAAGTATCAGACAAATCCAAGTTGAGAAACATGCTACAAAATAACTGGCATGTGATCTTCCAAAGTGTGAAGGTTATAAGAGTCAAGTAACTTTTCCAGACTAAGGAGACAACATAGACATGAGAACTTAATGCAATATGTGATTCTGAACTTACCTTTATTTTTTTTTTAATTTTTTTTTTAACCTTTATTTATTTTTGAGACAGAGAGAGACAGAGCATGAATGGGGGAGGGGCAGAGAGAGAGGGAGACACAGAATCGGAAGCAGGCTCCAGGCTCCGAGCCATCAGCCCAGAGCCTGACGTGGGGCTCCAACCCACGGACCGCGAGATCGTGACCTGAGCTGAAGTCGGACGCTTAACTGACTGAGCCACCCAGGCGCCCCTGAACTTACCTTTTTTTTTTTTTTTAATATATGAAATTTATTGTCAAATTGGTTTCCATACAACACCCAGTGCTCATCCCAAAAGGTGCCCTCCTCAATACCCATCACCCACCCTCCCCCCCTCCCACCCCCCATCAACCCTCAGTTTGTTCTCAGTTTTTAACAGTCTCTTATGCTTTGGCTCTCTCCCACTCTAACTGAACTTACCTTTTGATATAAAGCACATTATTGTGACAGTTGGAGAACTGTCATACTTTCAACTCAGGAAGACAGAGTTCTTTGTACTGTGTTTGAAATTTTCTATAAATTTGGGGTTGTTTCAAAATTTAAGGTGTATTTTAAAAATCAAAGCAGAAAATACAAGAGACTTTATTTAACTATTTATAAACTATATAACTGTTTATATATACATAAAACATATATATAAATATAAATATATATAAATGTATAAAATATATAACTATTTATACAGCTATAAGTCTGGGTTCTCCAACACTATATTGACATCTCACAGTATCTCAGAATAGATCCACATTTTGCTTTTGTCTGAATACCTCCTTTCACTCCTGTATCATTGTATTAACATAGGATAGCTAACATAAGTAAAATGAGCAAAAATAATCTCTCTCATTAATTCTGAGGAATATATTTGGATTGATAAGCAAAAGCAAGGTACTCTGTTCAAACTGAGTTTATGAATGGAAAACATTTTTCAACTATTATATGAACCATGTGTCCCTTTCAAAACTTGAATACTCCATGGGAAAAAAATTAAAACTGTCATTATATATAAGGGCGCAGACATAGAACTTTATTCCAGTACCTTATGGTATCACAGTGCTAGAAGGAACATGTCCATCATATGAGAAACTGAGGCAGGGTTAGGGATTATTAGCAAGCAACATGAGACAGAAAACAAATAGTAATTTTATGTAATTTACCAATTTATTCTCCCCTGCTGACTTCAGCTTCTCCTGTAATTTCATGGTGGTCTGTCGGATCCTCTCTATCTCCTCCTGCTGTTTAAGAATTAGTTGTCTTTCCTTTCGAGCTGCCTTATTGGCTTCTTGAAGACGTTTAATTTCCGCCTAAGGTTTTAAAGAGTTAGGAGAGGGATTGAGATTTGGAGGACACAAGTCCACAGTAATATTTTAAGAAAGCCCAATCATCACATATATCAAAAATAAAAACATACAGTATTTCAAGATAAAAGTAATAATATTGAAAAAATTTTAAATCGTGAAGGAGGAAAAAAAAGAGTCAGATAACCCCATAACATGCTAAAATAACTGAACATTATCCCTTAATTTTAAATAACTATTACTACAACAGACTAATAATTTCCTGTCCTCCTTTTAATTTTTTTTAAATATTTATTTGTGGGAGAGAGAGAGGAAGACAAAGAGAGGAGAGAGAGAGACAAAGAGAGAGAGAGAGAAAGAGAGAGATGGAGCATGAGCAAAGGAGGGGCAGAGAAAGAGGGAGACCTAGAATCCAAAGCAAGCTCCAGGCTCTCAGCTGTCAGCACACAGCCCAACGCAGGGCTCAAACTCATGAACTGTGAGATCATGACCTGAGCCAAAGTCAGATGCTTAACCGACTGAGCCACCCAGGCACCCTCCTGTCCCCCTTTTAAACGTAAGATACCCTCCACATTTTTCCATACGGTCTTTACACTTGTTTAATAGTTGCATAACAGATAAAGTAGTTAATGGAACCATTATTCTACTGCTAAACTCGGGCCACTTGTAATTTTTTTATCATCCCAAAGAATGCTTTCATGCCATAACCGTTTCATACTATGGATTTAAGGAGAGATTCCAAAAGGTAGGAGAAACAAGTCAGAGAGGATGAATCATATTACGGCCCTCAAAATCATTTAAAGATTGCTTTCAAAAAAGAACTGTCTCTACTTAAATGGCCACCAGAAACATTTAAGACTTCATTGCACCAAACTCTCCAACCAGGGTATTAAGTTTTCTGTTGGCCATTTAAAAAGTGGGCAAAAGGTGATTCACTTCACTGTTAATAATAGTTAAAATTTAAGAGATTGTCATGGTTTTATCATAAATGTGTTTTAATCTGTGTTCCTGTCGCATAATAAAGACAGGAATAATTTGCAACTTATAATTTCTTTTAATCATATTTGATTTTTGGAAACACTGAACATGTAGAAAAGTGCATAAAAATATCTAATTTCTAAAATCTCATATTAATAACTGTTAATATTCTATCATATTTTACCATAGTCTTTATTTTGTGAAGCAATAAAACATTACAGATAAAATCAGTGTATGTCCTCTGCCCTAAGTCCTTACAGGTAATCACTACCATGGTATATATCCTTCCAACACATTCTTTTAAAATTCTTCCACAAATATTTACACTTACCTGCAAAAAAGATTACATTGTTTGGTTTATGTTTTTAAATATTTTAGAAATAATATCACATATTCATATTTTCAATCTTGCTTTATTTGCTAGCCATTACTTTTGATAGCTCTCTGTGTTGACTTATACCTAAATGCTGCATAACATTGGAGGCATGTAATATTTCATGTGTCCATTACCTCTATGTTTGGATAAAGTTGTTGTTTACTATTACAACAATGCTACAATGAAGAGGCTTACATTGTCTGTCTCCTTGGGCACATGTACGGATTTCTCTGGAGCTGAAGTTCTTGAACTAAGGTCCATGAACTCAACGTTTATTTATTTTTGGGACAGAGAGAGATAGAGCATGAACGGGGGAGGGGCAGAGAGAGAGGGAGACACAGAATCGGAAACAGGCTCCAAGCTCCGAGCCATCAGCCCAGAGCCCGATGCGGGGCTCGAACTCACGGACCGCGAGATCGTGACCTGGCTGAAGTCGGACGCTTATCCGACTGCGCCACCCAGGCGCCCCTGAGGTCCATGAACTCTAGAGGGTTCCCAAGGTCCTTTCAGGGGACTCTCAGGGTCAAACTCTGTTCATAATACTAAGACATTACTTGCCCTTGTTTACTCTTGCTCTCTCGTGAGCATACGATAACACTATGCATTTTAAAGAAAATAACTATATTTTCCAAAAAAAAAAAAAATTGTGAGAAGAGTAGTATTTAGATTTTTCCAAATCTCTTTAATTGTCTGGCTTGATTTTTTTTTTTTTTTAACATCATGCATTGGTCATTTGGAAAATGTCGGTTCAATCAGTTATGCAGATCTTCCTAATGTTGACGCATTTCATTATACGGTATCAAAAAATCACATTCTTTCTTATCACCACAGATCTCAAAAGTTCTTTAGTATTAGGTGGTGGATAGAAATTGTCCAAGATAATGACTTCTTTTTTTTCTTAAATTTTTTTTAATGTTTGTTTATTTTTGAGAGAGAGGCAGAGTGAGTACAGGGAAGGGCAGAGAGACAGGGAGACACAGAATCTGAAGCAGACTCTAGGCTCTGAGCTATCAGCCCAAAGCCCGACGTGGGGCTCGAACTCACAAGCTACAAGATCATGACCTGGGCCAAAGTGGGACACTTCACTGACTGAGCCACCCAGTTGCCCCCAAAATAATGACTTCTACTTGAAAGTCTGAATTTTGTCATCGCCAACAAATACTGTCACTGCTGCTTTCTCTAAAGTGACAGGCACACTTTGTTCATTTTTGAGAAAATGACTGGCAAATACCCAAATCTGAATAAACAGATTGCCTCTGAATAATTCTTTCAAGGAAAAATGATATTCCATAAAAAAAAAAAAAAAAGTAGCTAGTTTAGCTTGCAATTCAAACAACTACACAAACACCTTTCCTTGAGTTAATCACTGTCTTTTGGTATCTAACAAAAGTGCTTACTTTTGGGCTTCCTATTTCTGTCACACAGAGTACGGAAAATGAAGAATACTCAAATGTCAACACTGAGTAAAATTAGCAATTTTTACTACTGAAGACATACTCCAGTGAAACTAGCTTTTTTTTTTTTTTTTTTTTAGCTTCAAGCGTGAGGTGGTGAAAACTATGACGATTACTAGACAGTTTGGTGCCACTGCCCTGATTTGTGCTAAGGCACTAGCAGATTTACACCATTGTTTTTGTACCACTTAGCACAAATGTCGACACATGGAAAGGGTGAATTCATATCCCACTTTTGGGAAAATAGTTTTGACCTCCTTGATCCATGAAAGGGTATCAGGGACCTGAGAGTTCCATAGAGTACCTTTTGAAAAACTGCTATTATAGGTTAGGCCTGGGTTTCTGAACCAATTAATATATAAATTCACCCAATCCAAATCTAGAAGAGTGAAGAAACTGTCTGAAGGCGGTTCTTGGAGGAAAAGGTTTGCTCTTCTTTTCAGAATAAGCCATAAGGTTGTTCAAGCAAACTGCTCACTTTAAAATGGCTAATGGTATTAAGTGAAATACTCTTTAAAATGGTTATTCTAAGCTATGTGAATTTTATCTCAAAAAAAAAAAAAAAAGAACATAACATAGGAAAATATGTTCTCTCTTTTTTGGATACAGTTGTACAAAGATATGTGGCCAAATTGGTTATAGCCATCTCACTACCAGTCAAAATAATTCTTACTGATACAACCCTAATATGCTTACTTCAGCAGCACATATACTAAAATTGATACAACTGTAATAAATAACTTAGTACATACGTCTTTCCAAGCTGGTATTTTTATTTCTGTAGGGCAACTTTCCAGGAGTAGACAGTTGGTTCAGAGTATTTTTTGCACATTTACTTAAAAAACATTATGAAGTACTATAAACATGATATGTAGAAAAATTTGTCACTCAAACACCAACCACTGGGATTGAAAAGTTTGCCCATATATGTTTCAAATCTTTCTGTTTCAAAAATATATCATTATAGATAAAACTGAACACCCCAATCCCTTCTCCCATTCCCTCCCCAGGAATTTATCATTTTTATATGTACTTTTGTACATGTAAGAGTCCATACGTACAGGAGTGAGTCCGTAAAACATACATTTCTGATTCGTGACTTAAAAAATTTATAAGAATGGTATCATACTGTATGTATTCTTTTGCATCCTGCTTTTGTATAAAAGCCAATATTACGATTTTTGATAAAGATCTACTGCTACCACTATTCAACATGGTAGCCACAGTTACATGTAGCTATTTAAATTAAAATTAAATAATATTAAAATTTCAGTTTCTCAGTTGCACTAGCCATGTTTTAAATACTTAAAAATTACATGTGGTTAGTAGCTACTGTATCAGACAGCACAGATATAGAACATCAATGTCATTTCAGAAATCTCTATTGAACATTACTGAGATGTAATGCATTCGTTTTCCTGCAGTATTGTACTTTCTGGCAGGAACATGCTTCATTTTATCCATTCTCTTCATGAAAAAATTAAGCTGCTTCCATTTTCCTCTGTACGCATGTGAAAGCATTTCTAGGATTTATACCAAGACACAGAACTGCTGAGTCCTAGATTATATGTGCTATCAATATAACTAGATATAATGAAACCACTCTCAAAACGGTTACACCAGTCACCACTCTCACAGGTACACAGACCTGATGTGACAGAACTGGAGACTTAAGAGGCTTCCAATGCAGTATCTCCTTCAAAGCATTTGCCTTTCTAAAGCAGTATAGACAGAAGACTAAGGAGCCAGAAACCTCTCAATAGCAGTCTCTTATACTGGTAAAATAAGTTTACCTAACTTTCCACTGAAATGCCTAGGGGTTACAACCTAGGGTGAATGAAAAAGCAGAGGCCTAGTAGACTGAGGCCTACTAACTCTGCAACCCAACACTAGCCCAGCTCAGTCCCTGAACGGATTAAAGGGAATAGCTGAGCACTCTAACTGCAGGGCAGAGGGAAAAATAAGCCCTCTCTGTGAGAAGATAGCATCATTTGGAGCCTTTGCAGTTACTTACACATTGTCCAGCATTGAATAAAAATTTACTAGACATGCAAAGAAAAATAATCATATGATAATAGAAAATATAAAGAGAAAACAGTAGCACACACACACACATATGTCCAAAATCTAGTTAGCAGACAAGAAAGTTAAAATGACTATGAACAACGTGTTCAAAAAAATGTGGGAAAACATAGAGAAACTGATGAAAAGGTAAAATCTATTTAAAAAAAAAGAAGAAAATAGATGTTACAGAACTAAGAAAAATCACATGAAGAACTCATCAGCTGATTTAACAGAACACATGACAGGAGAGAAGATATAACTAATGAATTCAAAGACAGATCAATAGAAACTTTCCAAATTGAAGCATAGTGTTTTTTTATTTTATTGTTTCTAAAGAGGGTGATATAAAAAAACAGAGTAGAAGAGAGATGTGGTAAATGGTCAAAAGGTCTAACATATTTCTACTTGGAGACTCTGAAGAGAATGAGGGAGAGAGGGGGAGCAGAAGCAACACGTGAAGAGGTAATTTTCAAAAACTGAAATACAACAAACAACAAATTCAAGAAGCTCAGCAAATCATAAACAGTATAAAGAGAAAAGAAACCACACCTAAGCACATCTTAGTAAAACTAATGAAAAAATCTAAGACAAATTTTTAAAAATGTTTAAAGCAGTCTTTAAACAAACATTAAGACAGGGCGCCTGGGTGGCTCATTTGGCTAAGTGTCTGACTCTTGATCTCAGCTCAGGTCATGATTTCACAGTTCAGGGGATCAAGCCCTGTGTTGGGCTCTGTGCTGACAACGAGGAGCCTGCTTGGGATTCTCTCTTTCTCTCTCTCTCTCTCCCTGCCCCTTCCCTCTTTTCTCTCTCTCTTTCAAAATAAATAAATTTTCTCAAAAAAGTAATTAAACTCAAAAAAGTAATTAAAAAAAACCATTAAGACAACTGACCTCTTCATAAAAACAATAGAAACTAGTAGACAATGGACAATATCTTTTAAAGTCCTGACAGAAAATAATTCCATGCCTAGTAAAAATATCTTTCAAAAACGAAGGTGAAACAAGTACAATTTTTATTTTTTTTTTATTTATTTTTTTTTTTAATTTTTTTTTCAACGTTTATTTATTTTTGGGACAGAGAGAGACAGAGCATGAACGGGGGAGGGGCAGAGAGAGAGGGAGACACAGAATCGGAAGCAGGCTCCAGGCTCTGAGCCATCAGCCCAGAGCCCGACGCGGGGCTCGAACTCACGGACCGCGAGATCGTGACCTGGCTGAAGTCGGACACTTAACCGACTGTGCCACCCAGGCGCCCCAACAAGTACAATTTTTAAACTAACAAAAACTGAATGTGCTATCAGCAGGCATGCAGTAAAACATTAGATTCATCAAAATCCAAAGACGTGGGCTCCAAAGCACACTATTAAGTAAGTGAAGGAGCGCCTGGGTGGTTTAGTCGGCTGAGCGTCCGACTTCAGCCGAGGTCATGATCTTGCAGTTTGTGAGTCCAAGCCCCACATCAGGCTGGCTGCTATCAGCATAGAGCCCACTTTGGATCCTGTCATCCCCTCTCCGCCCCTCCCCTGCTTGTGCACTCTGCCTCAAAAATAAACAAACATTTAAAAAGGGAAAACAGGGGCGCCTGGGTGGCGCAGTCGGTTAAGCGTCCGACTTCAGCCAGGTCACGATCTCGCGGTCCGTGAGTTCGAGCCCCGCGTCAGGCTCTGGGCTGATGGCTCAAAGCCTAGAGCCTGTTTCCGATTCTGTGTCTCCCTCTCTCTCTGCCCCTCCCCCGTTCATGCTCTGTCTCTCTCTGTCCCAAAAATAAATAAACGTTGAAAAATAAATAAATAAATAAATAAATAAATAAATAAAAAGGGAAAACAACCCCACAGAATGAGAGAAAATATTTGTAAATCTAGCTTTTATTCTACTTTATAAACAGAAAGCTACTGTAACCTTGTAAATAGTTATTTCCTTATTTTAACTAAGCATTTTAAGTTATTCTGACACCAATTTTTCTGTATTAAAAAGACATAACTTCTTTTTTTAAAAAAATACCAAATTTTTGAAGTTCATATGATCAATGATGTTTCCTGGGTGAACTTTAAAAAAAAAAAAACAACTAGTTGAGTAATAATCCAATATATAACTTAAATGATTAATTTCACAGATGATCCAATATGGTGGCTAGTACCTTGTAACAGGTCAA